AGTGATACTTCATTTCTAGTAAAACTTCTTGCCAAGTCTGCTGTTGAGGAATAGACAATTGAAGAACACAAGAAACTATCTTCCACTTACAAATTTCAAGTGAAAGGAAGTTTACATCAAATTACTCATATTCTGCAGTGTAGGAGGAAAGGGCAGGAGAGGGGCAACCATCCTTTGGGGAAAAAAAAGAGGAACATGATGACCATGCTTTATTTCGTATCCGTTGTTTTGGTCTTTCTTTCCTGTTCTCTTGAGTATTAGTGTTCTCATTCTCATTCATGTCATTCGTTTTGCTTTCATGCCAGAGCACTGTTTTATTTGGTTAACAGCCTGCTTTGAAGCAACAACTCCAGAACATATGTACTGTTGCAGACTGGACTAGAGATCATTGGTTGCAGAGGTAAACTTTCCTTTACATTTCCAACATCAGCATGGAAATCTTGAGTTTGACAGACTCACATTCATGCCTGTCCATGTAGCTCTTTGTGTGAGTTAAGGGCAATTACAATTCCCAGTGCAGACTACCTCATTGGATTGTTATGAAGATAAAAATGAGGCAGGAATATATATTATCACACTGACTGCCCTGCCTAGTGCTTAATTGCAAATTAAATAAATATCAAATATATTTTGATTGGCCAACTGTTTGGACAATATAAGAAAAAAACCCTATAGCAGGTGTCTCCAACCTCCATTTTTGCCAACGGTGCTCGCCCACTGCTTGCACAGAACCATCCCCTCTCTTCCTGCACCGCTGGCAGTCCACAAAGCCAGAAAGATTGGGGACTGCTGCCTTATAAGGTCCTTTCTAGAAGTACAATCCCCACTATTTTTCCCCCCAAATATTCTCAGTTCAGACATAATTTTTTCCTGCTGCTTTTAATTGTATGAGACCTAATCAGCTGGATCTGTTTTAGCAAACAGCCAACATGGGACAAGTCAGAGACTGACAGCAGTTACTTGCCCCGGGCAATCTCTGGCAAGTGAAGGACATAATTCCTTTTATCTCTTTCCTCACATTTGATGTACACATCTGAATCTTCTAAATTGACCTGAGGCTACATATAGGCCATTGAGGGAAGAAAAAAAGGTGCTGTCTTATTAAATCTGCTCCATGTCCTAAAATATATATTGAATTGTAGAATGATTTCTTGATTACTTTATTATACTTAGCATTTCTATCTGGAGCCACTGCAGTTGATTATGCCCTCCAGTGTAGGCTTTGTAGGAGGAGATAATGTAAATAAAGCTACCATTAAATTACTGCAGTAAAGCTATCTTGAAAAGTATTGTACCTGGATGAAGTATCATGATGTGTGAACACAGGTTCTGACAGAAAACAGTCCTACAGACAATACTGAATCAGATAGATTGAAAGACGGAACAGTAAACTTTATAAGAATATAATTTCTAAGCATAAACAAAGGCAAGGCCAGTTTAGCACGATTCCTGCTTTGCAAAGGTCTAAACTGACTATCTTTTCTTAGCATGAACCAACCTGAAGATACTTTTAAGAATTTGGGGCTTTAGCTTTTCTTTATATTTATCAAGTTCCCAGATTGCCTTAGTTTAAATTGGTGTTTAAAATTTAATTTCTCAAAGTACAGTCAAGCATGATATAATAATGCCATCTGTACTAAGATAAATCATCTTAAAAAGGCAGGAACTAGAATAGTCCTTCCCAACTTCACCTCTTTCAAATTCAAAAATGAATAGATCAGGGGCGAAATGTAAAATTTGTTACTACTGGTTCTGTGGGCGTGGCTTGGTGGTGGTGGGCTAATGTGACTGGGTGGCTGTGGCCAACTTTTTTTTTTTTTTAACTTTTCAAAGCATTTTTTCTGCAAATGCAAAAAAATGCTTTGAAAAGCCTCTGCTGATCAGGAACACAGCTGGCATCATCAGAGCCTTTTCAAAGCATTTTTTAAACCACCTCTTCCCTGGAAGAGGTTGCAGAAAAAAATGCTTTGAAAAGCCTGTGATGATCCCAGCTGAGCCGCCCGATCATCAGAGGCTTTTAAAAAAACTTTTAAAAGCATTTTTTTGTTGGAAGAGGTTGTAGAAAAAATGTTTTTAAAAGTAAAAAAAAAGCCTCTGATAATCGCTGGACATGGTGGTGGTGGGGAAGGCGCAGGGATTTTTGCGGGAGCATTTCACCCCTGGAATAGATACTTTATAGCTGAAACATATACATCCAATACTTTAAACACAACATGCTACATAACATCTGAGATTTTGTTCCCATAATAGGGTAAAAAACATAATGTCTGAGAAGATTATACTCAGAAGTGGGTTTCAGCAGGTTCTTACCAATTCTAGAGAACCAGTAGCGGAAATTTTGAGTAGTTCAGAGAACTGGTAGTAAAAATTCTGATTGGCCCCACCCCATCTATTCTCTGCCTCCCAAGTCCCAGCTGATTGGGAGGAAATGGGGATTTTGTAGTAACCTTTCCCTGGATTGGGGAGGGAATGGAGATTTTACAGTATCCTTCCCCTGCCATGCCCACCAAGCCATGCCACGCCCACCAAGCTACACCCACAGAACCGGTAGTAAAAAATTTTGAAACCCACCACTGATTATATTATATGCCTAAATTGTATCCCAGGAGTGATTTCCTATAAAAGGAACAAGGTTTATAAAGAAAAACATTTTAACACATAAGGTATGTACAATTCAAGATTATAATGGAGATTTACTGTAGTCATAACTGATAGAAAAGATTGCGTATTTAATTGCATTCATGATAACGCATTTCTCATTCATTGTAAGAGTTGTTTCCAAGCTAAACCTTAGGAAATATTTGGAAAAATCTGTTTCATGCAAGGAAAGTCTGTTTTCCTGCAAAGGTTAGTTGGCCTTATTTTTAGTTTTCCAGTGTTAATATTTTTCCATTTTTGCAAAGGAAGTGTAAAGAACTGCCAGTACTAGAAATTAAATTCCTTATGTACAGATCTAATATGACACACAGCCAATAATTACAGTTACATCATTAAAGCTAACACCAATCTGGCATTTTCAGGAGCAATAGCACAAAGGCAATGAATCCCTGTAGAAGTCAAATTTTAAAAGGTATTGAAAAATTTGGAAAAAATCTAATTAAGGTTATAATTTAGCTAAGATTATAAATACTGTACACTTACTTATCCATTATCCATTTCTTTGAATTTAATCAGACCTACATCTAAGAGGGTTTCACTGTTATGGCTATAAGATGTTATTGTTAATTGAATCATAACTTATTTACTTTTATTCTACACAGTATGTGTTTTATTTCATATGCATGTATTTCAATTAAATTCATGCTTGATTAAACAGTTGAAAACCAACCTTTTTGTTTCTATAGTTCTTTGTAAAACAAAGGTTTAATTATTTAATTTATTTCAAATAATTTGATCAATTAATTATACAATTGTCTTTTAAATACTGCTTACCTCTCAATATAAAATGTACACAGGGCATGATTCTGCTCTCTCTCCGAAGCTTGCTTCTGTATAGATATGCAAGAGCACCATCTGCTGAACACATCACTATGTTTTTGACTAAATATTATCTAATCTCCTTTAGGAATGGATATAAAAATAAATAAAATCTAAAGAACAAATGGAGTGGTACTAATTTACTAGTAAGCTTCTAAACATTAATTATAAACAAAATTGACCTATAAGCCAATTTGTCTGCCCATGTGGGTATCTTTATCATAGAGAAATGGCATTTATCTGAAGCTATCCCCACTAGTGATTTCATTTGATAAGTTTGGACCAAAGCAACAGTAATGACTATTTATATTACTTTGCAGTAGTAATGGCTGGATAATGCTATGAGAATCATTGAAATCAGTGTTAAAGAGTTGGTCTGAGTCAGGATGTAAATTAGTAATTCTGTGGTTCCAAATGGAGGAAATGAAGTCAATTTGATGTAATTATCCAATGAGAATTATTCTAAAAATACAATATACATCATTTCAATAATTTTGGAATGAAAGCCACCATGCTAGATCAGGAATGGGGAAAGTTCTTCATAGAAAACTTCGTAATAATCTCTCCATTTTTATCCGTGAGGATGTTCTTCAGCCCTTTTGCCATATTTAAATCAACACGAATGGGAGTATTCCCATTCAATACTCCACTATTTGTAGTTCTAAAAAAGCAAAAAATCATACTGTTAAGAGTCCCTCCTTCTTCATTAAACCTTTAGTCCATTACTGTTTTCCTGTAACAGTGTTAAAGCCAAGGGAACAAGCTATATCTATAACTCCTCCAAAAATATTCAATATATAGGCTAAAACTCAGGTTCAAAATTATACTGAAAACATAAAGGGGTAACAATTTACATATAGCACAATTTCAAGATTACATAGAAGTTCACTAAAATTTGAAAAAGTAAACGTAAGTCACTTGATGTCTATTAGCATGTAAATAATATAAATTGTAGATAGCATCAAAGCTTAAGGCTGCAATCTACGGTATATATCTAGGATTAAACCCAATGAATTCAGTGTGAATAATTTCTGAGTGGAATGACTGGAATTATACCATTATAAACTAACACTTCTTTCTTCAAGTGTAAAAAATTAAAATGATGTCCTTAAACTTAAACAAAATAATATGCATAATGCATAAAATTCTCTGAAATGTTTTTTAATTTACATTTATTGTATGAAACTCTATACCTTGTTTTCTGGAACCTTTAGAATTATGTCTTAAGGTTTGAAAACATATTCTTTTTAATTCTAAAGCAGGTTATTACATATTTTGGGGATTGATAGAAAAATATAAACTTGCAGTACATAGGAAGAATGAATCATATCCATTGGAGGGATTAAAAGTTATGAAAGTCTTACACTAATTTGGTAATAGTAAAGGCATTCTTTTAAACCAGAAAATAAATTTGAATACATTTCCTGAAATACCGAAAGTTGGTTTTTTGTTTTTTGTTTTGCTTTTCATCTGAATACAAATAATTGACATTTTTCAGGTTGAACATTTTATTTAGGCCAGTATTATAGGAAAGCGATTTTATTTTAAAAGAAATTACATGGCATTGTTAATGAATCAAAAGTTTTATTCTGTTCATGTGTTTTGCTTCGGTGTGTCACAGAATGGGGCATTGTCTCGTAGTACCTCCTTTCTTGGTAAAAGCTCTGGAAGAAAAAGACATTATTATTAGATTTTCCACACTATTGTTTAAACAAAGCCAATACTGTCTTTCTAGTGCTCTAATAATAATGGAGATTGTAGAATTAGAAGCAGTATTTTCGACACATGGGAATTTGTAAAATTATAAACTAATTATGAATACATATAGTATATTTAAATGTTCTCCCTTTTGCAAAGACCATTCAATATTCTTTATCTGTTTGGTAGTCTGGTCATCGCAAAAGACTCTGTACTAAGGTAAAACATTCATTCACCCGACCATGTATTATTTGTTTCAACTGGTGATAGGTTTCCTTAGTTTGAGGCAGGAATTGTTCCAGTCATTTCTGGAGATGCTACTTTAGCAGGTGATAAACAAGTTAATAAATCCAGGAAGAAAAAAATGGCAGACTATTTCTACGCTATTGTATGTTATGTGATAATCAAGAGCTGAGTTCTGAGATCATCCTTATCTCCTTAAATGCGCAGACACCGACTCTGACTTCCTGCCGCAAAGAAAAGGTTTATTACTGAGCCACAAACCCCTGTGAGTACTGTAGCTAATAAAGACTTGATGAATGCAATGCTCAATTTCTTCTTCTTCTTCAGTTTTAAAAAACCCATAATGAATAATAGAACAAATATGGCATGGTGGTTAACTAAAACTATGGAAATCTCTGTTTGTATCCAGTCACAGCTATGGAAGCCAAAGGGGTGATTGAGGGGTTGACATGTTGCCCTTGGTGTCAATAATGAAGTGGATAAATAAAAAAAATACGTTCATGCAATGTATAAAGGTAAAGGTAAAGGTTCCTCCGCACATGCGTGCTAGTCATTACTGACTCTAGGGGGCGGTGCTCATCTCCATTTCAAAGCCGAAGAGTCAGCGCTATCCGAAGATGTCTCCGTGGTCATGTGGCTAGCATGACTCAATGCCGAAGGCACACGGAGCACTGTTACCTTCCCACCAAAGGTGGTCCCTGTTTTTCTACTTGCATTTTTTACGTGCTTTTGAACTGCTCAGTTGGCAGAAGCTGGGACAAGTAACAGGAACTCACCCCGTTACGTGGCCCTTGGGATTCGAACCGCTGAACTGCCGAACTTCTGATCGACAAGCACAGCATCTTAGCCACAGAGCCACTGAGATGCAATTTATAGCAGCTTCTTTTTTTTTAAAAAAAGGCAAATTTCCATGCTACAGATCATTAAGAAAGGGTTAAAAATGCCAACAGAAAATTATGGTACCTTCATATCTGGAATTCTAGTTAAGGTTTTGATGCAAACTGAATCTCTACATATTTGGGATTAAAAGTGGTTTAACCCATTTGAATTAATCATAACATTTTATATTTTAAGTTGCAAAGATCTCACACTCCACAGGAAGTATAGGATAGAAAAATAGAGAAAACACGTACATTTTATTAGATACAGGTATACTTTCAGGTACATTATCTAATCAACTCATAGAGACAATATTGCAAAAATATATTAATGGAAACTTTAACATTTGTTAAGATATTTAATTATTCATGGTAGAAAGTTTCTATTAAACACAGATTCAGTTGGAATCAGGAAAACAGAACAAATTTGATAGCTAACTGTAAGGCCTTCACAACTATTCTGATATTTCATCAATATTCCACTATTCATTAAAGAACTACTTAAAATGAATATCAACCTGCCATAAATAGAATATATAGAAATCTATAGAATTACTATTTAATTAATATACTAATTAAATCTAATTAAATTCTGAATGATATTGTATAATTATATGTATGCCCTCTGTCTGTCATCTATCTATCTAATCTGATATATATATATATATATATATATATATATATATATATATATATATATCTATCTATCTAATAAATCAAATACACTGTGCCAAACTAATTAATAAAAGTTGCAAGGAAGAGAATCTTTACTTACTTATTTTGTTGGCATCCACATAAACACCTTGTAGGACACATGTTCTAAGTAAAACTTCCACATCTGAAGCTATTTTTATAAACTAGGTGGAGTTGGGAAACAGAATTAATAATTATTCATCAATATATTTTGCTTCCTGATCATCCATGAAATGTTATTACAAATTCATTGTGCATTTCATAACTGGGATTTTCAAAGGACGCTTATCTTTGATATTCATTCATTCATTCATTCATTCATTGGTTCGATTTATATGCCGCCCTTCTCTGAAGACTCAGGGCAGCTTACAATGCGTTAAGCAGTAGCCTTTATACTTTTGTATATACCTGCTTAGTAGGACTTTCGCCCCCCCCAAGCGGTGTTCTTTTTTATACAAAGTAAGCTTTGTATATGTATATTGTATTTGTATATTGACATTACTATAGTTATATTACATGCTCCTTAATAGAATAGGGAATTTTTTCCAGAACTAGCAAGACATATTTATCATGGGGTCAAGATTTAATCATAAAAATCATACATTTGCTTGCAGAAGATAGCAAAAGTGAACTTTTCAATATATTTCCTTTATAATAACTAAAGAATGGCTGAAACTATTAGTTTGTTTAATTATATTTTTTCCTCTTTGAAATATTTTTATTCTTCTAATATTAATATTAAATTTTCATGTTTGACATCTTTCACTAATTTATACTGCACCTACTAGTAGACATGCTTATAATGCTATTTAATATATAATGCTACTCTTGCTTCAAAGAAGTAGTCAGGGAGCTATCAACTGAATAGCACTAAAAGGTTTCACACTTTATTAGAACATAAAGCAGAAATATACTACTTGATACACATATAGTAATTAGTTTATTTTAGTTTCAGATCAGTTATAATTTTATCATTTCATCAGGTTCATGAATAATTTGACAGTCTATTCCTCCAAATCTAAACAATTATCTGCATGAATCAGCTTGTAAAAATATCTGAGTTACTGATTGAAAGAATAACCCATGAAAAAATATGCATGTGTTTATTTTAGCTATCAGTTTTCAATCAGCTAAGATTTTGTGAAAGCTTCAGAAATTCATGTTTTAGAGCTGAGCTGTTGAACACTTGAACACTTGCTGAATTTAAGAGTATTCTTTTCCTTCAGGCAAAAGAAACTAAATATCAATAATTCAAGAAATTAGAGCTGTTCCAATTTTAAGAGAGAGAAAATTACAGAATAATGGAATCTATTATGCCAATTTCTGCAAGACGACTCTATGACAAAGAGGGTTTCATTTAAAGTTGTCCATACACATATCTTGCATGCACATAAAAGAACTTGTTCCTGTTTTACAGGCAAATTATTATTCTTTTAAGCAGATTCTTCAGAAATGCTATTGTTCCTAATCTCGCTCTTTTTCACCTGTCAGATTGCATTCATTTATAAATGGTGGCATTTTTAGGAAAAGAGTTCAATGAATGGGGAATGTTTCTGAAATGGAGCAACAAAAAGAGCTTATTCACTAGTTTGGCACAGGTGACATAATATAATACTGCGCTAATAAACTTTAAAATAACAGTTATATCAGACAGTATACGATAGTAACATATTCTGCTATATACGAAGGTGACAAAATTGTAGGCAATTTAACTCTCTGCTTCAGGATCTTGATTGATTAATAATCAGACAAAAAAAGCATCTAGATATATTTAGCCAGCTTTAATAAAAAATAAGAAACCTGTATCATTAGAAACTAGCTAGCTTGTACAAAATTCCAAAACATTAAGGTTTAGCTCTCTCTATATGGTTCCTCCAAGTGCCAGCAGGAACTTCACATGGTGCCCTCCAAGCAGCATTCTTTAAAAATAAAAGTGATGGGGGTTCAATGCTCTTTTGGAATTATATTCACCCTAAAGATATAAATTTTTGCAAATGAGTATGTGAACTGGAAAGTTTTGGGACAAGCAAGAAAGGGTAGCAGGGATCTTCTAATCAGTTGCCTTTTAGTAAACTGTGTGACCACACTACCAGAGCAGTCTTGTTGTGGGAATGTTCATAGCATTTATTCAAAATTCAAAAGTACCTACAAGTAGTCCTCACTTACCGATTGCCTTGTCAGCATCCCTCAGTCATGTAATCGCCATTATGCTCAGAAAGCCTTATCCTTTGCCTGACCTGTGGTCCCTGTAGTTTGTACAGCAGTGAGATTGGAGAGGAAGGGTTTACAAGAGACTAAGCAGGCATATGAGGGGGAATAAACCAGGTTATTTTTGTATGGCTCCCAGCCCAAACATGATTGGGGCTGCCAGTACCACCACTTTTCTTCCAATATATATTCCCCATGGTGTGTCTGCATAGTCTTTTATAATCCCTTCCTCTCCAATGAATACAAATATTAATCTCCTCCTTGCTAATTGTCACAGCATTGGAGTGAGCATTCTAAGGGGCAGGGAAATGTAAGCACAATCTGAGTCATTTTATTTTCTATTTAGTGACCAATTTGCTTAACAACAGTTATCAGTCCTGTGTGGTTGCTAAATAAGGACTACCTGTATTAGCTTTAAAGATTAGGAGACTCCAGACTATTCTCTCTATTTCAAGCTACAATAAAAATGTTGCAAAGGATAGAATTCTAAGAAAAAAAAATAGAGTAACTGTTATCTCTGCTCAACAATTGCTTGTTCCTAATTCATCTTTGATTATTGGTTTGCACTATCTTTCCCTTTGAATATGAAGCAGAAAAACTATCACTGTAAAACAGAGTGTTAGCCATTGGCTTTCAATCTGTGGTTTCCAATATAAATATATAGATTACACTTGTATTTTGTCAGTTTCACTGTATAGTTTCTCTTTTAGAAAATCATTAAGAATGATAATTTTAAAGAGACATGCACAATTTTTTTGTTAGTAATCTCTATCCTCGGTCTATTCCTAATCTGTACCGTATAGTTAATACATAGTTAAACCTAGTATATTTTGTAATAGTTAAACTAATTTAATACAATATATTTAATGCAACACAGGATTGTATTCAATAACAGAAATCAATTTCCACGCAAATACCTCAGCTATTTTTTCAGGAGAAGTCTCATTTTTATTATTTTTGAATTCTTCATTTATCTTAAGTCTTGCAGCTAGATAAAAAAAAGAGACCAGGCATTTTAAAAAAATGTAGTCATTCAGTTTTTACATATAAAATAGATACTTCTATAAAAATTATTTCCACAGTATGCTACCAAAATCTTATGTGCTAATCTGAAGATATTTTAAAAGATCTAGTCTTTTCCACAACAGTTAAGTTGCAATATACAATATTACAAAATGTCACTAAAAGTCCCAAATGCATGTTATATTTAAAAACTAACTATTCCTTTGCAACACTTTGAGGAAGTTGAACATAAAACAGTTAACAGTATTTAAAGAAAGCTTACCTGATATATCAAAAAGCAGCATAATAATTATCTTGGATAAGATAAGGCTCCAGCAAGGAGATATTTAAGTATACATAAGCTCCTATTCTTCAAATGTGGCATAATGTGAACAGAATAAGGGGGTCCCTGGTGCTCTCTAAGCTTGGTTGTTTTCTTGAAGATGTTTCATTGGCCAAACCTGGTAACATTATCAGTGCTACAGGGAGTGAAGTTTGTTCTTATTTTATATTCTACTAGCTTGCCCTGTCAGTGTTGATGTGAGTGGTGTTCTTTGGTTGGGTTTACTGCAGCTTTACTAGCTGTGTTCTATTCCATTTCAGGATTACTTTCTTATCTTGACAACCCATTTAGTTCTTAGTTTAAAATTATAACCCATAAAATTAGCCAAATTGGCCTCTTTCCAGATCGCCTATATTTAATGGGCATATTTCAGCTTTTTTGTTTGTTAGACAAGGGCTCTGGGATATAAGATCATAGGACTTGAGTTGTAAATCCAATTCACCCTGTTACTGTATGACCTCATATTTAACCCACATACATCATAGTTCTTAATCAGTTTTCGTATAGGCAGATTCGAGAGAATACCTCTTGTACAAAGATTTTATCTTTGTCAGAAGTCAGAAGTAGAATTGTATCTGAGGCAAACATTGATTTCTCCTTTGTTTTTTTCAACCAGGCTTTTCAAACCATGTAATTTTCTCTTATATAAATTTAGGCCTAATGTAGCCAAATTTTCAGCTGCCAGGGTTAGGTGCATTAAAAAACTTTTATGAATGATATGTTTCCCATGTGTTGTTTTCTTTTTTATTAAGCTTGTTGCTGGGTCTTTTGATAAATAAATAATAAATTTTCATTCATGTTGATGATTGATATTTTTTTCTTATTTGCATACAACTAATTTATCCCAATGCACGATGAAAAGTCCAGAGAGCTATACGTTATTTTAAAATTTCAGGAGAAATTTTAATGTATCCATATCAAGGATGAGAAATCAAGGTTTAGAGCATATAAATACATTGAGTGATGAAACATGTTTTCATCTAGAAGTATATATATGGATCAGTGGTGGGTTTCAAAATTTTTTACTACCGGTCTGTGGGTGTGGCTTGGTGGGCATGGCATGGCTTGGTGGGCGTGGCAGGGGAAGGATACTGCAAAATCTCCATTTCCTCTCAATCAGTTGGGACTTGGGAGGCAGAGATTAGATAGAACAGGAGGCAACTACAATTCAACACTGGCAAGATCTTATAATGAAATGACAAGGGACTCAGTGCATATACAGAATGTATACCTTTAAAAAAACAAGCATAGAGTCTCAAATACAAGTACATGCTAGAAGTAATAATTATACATTAAAACTATGTTTTTAAATGCTATGTTTCTAAGTAGCCCTCTGCTGGGGAAAGATTGAGCATTTTTCCTTTAGTAAAACTTGTTTTACAAAAAAAGTTCTTACCATCTAAGCTTCTGGTGTCACCTTTGAACACATTTTGCCTTGTCCTATGTAAAATCTTGAAAACTTTCAAGACCTGTAAATACAATAGAACGTTAAAAGTTTTACATTCTTATGTTATAAAGAAAGCACAATTTGCTCAGTTAAATTTGAAGTAAGAATATCGGGGAAACAAAATATAGAAATTCTCCAAGAAAAAGCATTTGGTCATAGCAGAATGAAATGAAAATGATTCCTAGAAATAGCAGCTACTGTAAATGCTGATATAACAAGCAATCCACATTCCTGCTTCTAACATAGATACTGGTATGTAATACTGGTATGTGAAACTCAGCCTAAAAGACCATATGATAGGTATTATAATCTCAAATTCCTTGCCTGATTCTTAGATAGGCAAGCCTCTAGAAAGTGACAGAAAAGTTGTTAAAGAAGACATTTCACAGATATTCCAGCTATATGTCTGACACAATAATACTTTAAAATTTAAGAATGCTAGTTTTTAGTTTTACAAGGCCAGATTAGCCTTGACCTTACTGGTCTTCTGGAAGGGTCTGAAGATTTGGCTTTGCCATCTTGAACCTGAGATCTGGTAGTGGCATTGTGAAGCTTGTTAGATGGTTACATTGGGAGCACGTTGAACTACATGCTTGCAGATTACGTCTTTTTATGGTTTTTCATAGTTTTTACTCTTTTAATGTTTTTAATGTGTTTTTGTTCTTATGATTTTGGTTAATTTTTGTAATGTTTTTCTGTTTTAACTTTAAGAGCTGCCACATATTTGAGTTGGGCAACATACAAATAAATAAACTTTGAGAGAGAGGATGATGTTACCTAATCTTTTGAGGCTAGAACTCTGAGAGAAAGGTATTATTTGAAGGTAAACAGAGTAATTAATACATAAACAAATCAAACTAAGGGAAATTTGACACAGTACTTCAAAAATGCAGAAATTTACTGCTTAAATTAAGTCAGTTACACTACTGGCTTAATTAAAATAGAGAGAAATATCAGTAATGGTATTGTTTTTAATATACAGACACCACATTATTAGCAGTAAGAATCCTTATAACACTTATTTTTGCAAACCCCAGTTTTTAGTTTATAGAGAAATAGGTGGAAGAGGAATTTTTAGAAAAGTTATTGTTTCATAATTTTGACAGAGAGGAAAGAAATATATAAACGTTTTCAAATGGGTAAGCCAGGATACCAGCCTCTTTGACTAGTGAATGGGAAAAATTCCCATAAAAATACTAAGTGGTTCACAGAAAGACCAAAATACACTAATGCCACTCAAAATACTTAATTGGAATGAACACTGTTTTATAGGAAGACATAAAAATATCCTTATGAACTGAGATATCAAAGAAAATAAAGTAAACACCAGAGTAAAAAATACATATTTACACCTTATTTTACAAAACTTATTTTTTAAAAAAAACATGTACAATTAACAGGAATTCCATAGATGTATCTTTCCAGTTTAAAACAGGCATCACCTGCTGTATTTCCGCTTGTCCTATAACTATTAAGAATACATGAGTTTTGGAGATGAAACAAAAGTGGCAATAGCAGCTTTTATGGGAGTGAAGCAATAGACATTTCATCTCATTGAATGTATGTATAATCTATGTAACCATTTAAATGAGAACCAGTTTGGCACAGTGGTTTAGCCATTAGGCTAGAAACCAGGAAACTGAATTCTAATTCAACTCAGGCATGAAACCAGCTGGTGACCTTGGGCCAGTCACTCTCTGTCAGCCTAAGGGAGACAGTGACAAAGCATTGGTGTAAATCTTGCCAAGAAAACTACAGGGATGCTAGGCAGTTGCCAACAATCAACCCTGACCTGAAGACACACGTGCCATTTAAAGAGGAAAAAACGAAGTAGGTGGCTTATCAAAGATGGTGAGAAATGTAGGGCTAATACATTATACTGAACTGTAACATACTGTATTAGATTCTGGCTTAGTGTGTTGTGTGAACCCAGATGTAGAGTGGTATACAATAGGGCTCTACAGCATTTTAGATGATGGGAAATTGTAGTCTAATTCAGTACATCCCAAGTAAGACATCAAAAAGTAATTCTAAATAAAAAAACAACTTATCATTTGAATAATCACTGGCCTTATCACAACCTCACTTTCAGGACCAGATTATCCGGCAGGTAAAAAAAATTCAAGGAAGTTTTCAAGGATTCATATATTATTTTATTTTATTTATTTGTCAAGCAAATAAAGCAGATATTAGATAACAGATATAAGTATAAACATGATTATGAATACATGGAATGGATATGAATAAAAGGGGACATTAGGACAGGGATGGTAGGCACATTGGTGTGCTTATGCACGCTCCTTACAGACCTCTTAGGAATGGACTGAGGTCAACAGTAGACAGTCTAAGGTTAAAGTTTTTGGGGTTTGGGGAAGAAACCACAGAGTCAGGTAGTGCATTCCAGACATTGACCACTCTACTGCTTATATTCTGTAATCAAGTTTGGAGTGGTATACCTTAAGTTTGTATCTATTGTGTGCTTGTGTATTGTTGTGGTTGAAACTACATTGACAAGTAGGACACTGTAGCAGATAATTTTATGTACTACGCTTAGGTCAGACCGAAGGTGAAGTAGTTCTAAGTTGTCTAAGGCCAAAATTTCAAGTCTGGTGGCATAAGGTATTCTATTGCGAACAGAGGAGTGGAGGACTCTTCTCGTGAAATATCTCTGGACTCTCTCAATTGTATTAATGTCTGATATGCAGTGTAGGTTCCAGACAGATGAGTTGTATTCACAAATTGGTCTAGCAAATGTTTTGTATGCTCTAGTAGGCAGTACAATATTACCAGAGAAGAAGCTATGCAAGATTAGGTTAACAACTCTTAATGCCTTTTTGGCAATGTTGTTACAGTGCAGTGGTGGGTTTCAAAATCTTTTACTACCGGTTCTGTGGGCGTGGCTTGGCTTGGTGGGCATGGCAGGGGAAGGATACTGCAAAATCCCCATTTCCTCCCAATCAGCTGGGACTTGAGAGGCAGAGAATAGATGGGGGTGGAGCCAGTCAGAATTTTTACTATCGGTTCTCCAAACTACTCAAAACTTCCGTTACCGATACTCCAGAACTGGTCAGAACCTGCTGAAACCCACCTCTGTTACAGTGGGCTCTGGCACTTAGATAATTAGAGATGAGGACTCCAAGGTCCTTGACAGAGTGAGGATCGTCTACAAGGTCGTGTCCATCAAACTTGTATTTTTTTGTCCTGATTTTTTTTTTTTTTTTGCCAAAGCGTAATGCATATTTTGAAAATCAATCGGTCATAACACAATTAATGTTGCTAGTTTCTGGGCAAGATCTATTTCATTTGTACGTATTTTAATCTTGTATTTTATATATTAAATTTTAGGCCTTATAGTATGCCTTATTTTAATTGTGATGCTTCTGACATGGATAAGCAAACATACCGGTAGTAACAATGTGGTCAGGCAGTAAAGTAAGAAAATCAAGAAAAAGGGCGAATAAATATATCTCTTACACATTCTGTACCATATTTTGCATGCACTCCAACTATAATACATTCTTATATGGCTCAAATAATGTTCTCAGCCCAACAACAAAACTTTACACCACCAACAACCATCTTCTCTCGCTCCCACAGTATCTTGCCTGCGAAAGGTACACACAGGACCATCCACTAACCTCTGCCCTTCGCATCGCTGGGACCGGCGCTCTTGGAGGAATCCCTCTTATAGAGGTTTCCGGGAGGAACAAAGCCACGCCCATCCGTGCACGTTATTGGTTCTATGAGAACATCGCCTCCACGACAACGACAAATCAGCGGGCGTCCTGCATTCCAAAATGGGAGGAGATAAAAGATGACTCGAGAGCTATACCTATAGAGTAGCATTATGAGAAGAAATGTAAAGAAGTAAAACGGGGACAAAGTTGCAAGAAAGGAAACGGAATAAGAAAGCATCGGCGTTCTACTAAGCCAGGGGTCTCCAAGCTTGGCAACTTTACGACTTGTGGACTTCAACTCCTAGAATTCCTCAGCCAGCGCATGCCTCAGCCAGTATGCGCTGGCTGAGGAATTCTGGGAGTTGAAGTCCACAAGTCCTAAAGTTGCCAAGCTTGGAGACCCCTGTGCTAAGCTAATTTGACTCAACCTCCGTAACTTTTAAGGTGTAGGGAGGACTTCAAATCCCAGAATTCTCTAGCCAAGCCGGCAGTTGGAAGCGGGCTGCTGGGGAATTTTGGGAGTTGAAGTCCACGTATTTTTAAATTGCTTGGAGGTTCAGAAAACCCTGTGCCCGGCACAAAAATTGTGTTTAACGGAGAAAACGTTTAATATTTTCCTTTTATTCAAATTAAACATGTCACGGAAAGAGCAACATTATCTGATGCGATGCTACTTAGAGAAACATTAAAATAATAAAACTGATTACCACAGAGGGTGAACAAATGCCTGAAAGGAAAAAGGCCACATTGATAAAACCTGTTAATAATTTATGAGAGACGCTGAACTCATTCAGTGCATTTTTCCCCAGCAGTGTTTTTTTAAACTTTATTGCCTCATCATACGATTGCGCCTCTGCACTTTGCTATTCCTCGGGAAAAGACGAGAAGGCGGAATGAAATGACGGGCAGGGGAACCGACCGGTAAGACGGGTTAGTTCTATCAGCATATTGCTTTGATTGGGCAGTCTTGCCGCTTGTTTCCCCTCCTACGCTCCGCTATTGGTCAATTCGAAGAGGCGGGGCCGGGATATAAAAGGCCTGACAGCGAGGCTGGGCGGGCGCTTCTCGTGCAGAGATGGCCGCTGAGGTTTGCAGGGCTCAGGCGGCTCAGCCGGGCGGGGACACCATATTCGGGAAAATCATCCGTAAAGAGATCCCCGCCAAGATCATCTTCGAGGACGAGAAGGTGGGGAAACGGGGGCGAGTCCGAACTTGCATGGCTGCGGCCATAAGTCTTATTGGCCAGCTCTGTTTGCCTTTTTTGGCTGCAATGCCAGGCTGAAACAGGCATTTGCATGACTTCGAGGCATGCTCCGTGGCCGCTTGTGGCGGGAATTGCTATCTCGTGGCCTGTGGGTGGAGTGCCAACCAAAGCGAGGTAGACTGTCTTTGCACCTGGAGGCTCTATTTTTCCTGCGTCTTTTTCCCTTCGCCCCCCTCCCCTAAAAAAAAAAAGAGCAAGGAGGATATATTACCTGCAACTAATCTCCACCCCTGAATCTTAATGTTTTCTATCTTATTAAATTTCTTAAAATTTTAAAATAAATTAAAATTCTTTAAAATATATTTAAAATATATTAATAAATCCTGGACATAAAATTGTTTTAACTTCTACCCTCAAAAAGACGCTATAGGGCACTGCACACCAGAACAACTAAACACAAGGACAGTTCCCCCCCCCCCATGCTATCACTTTGCTTAACAACTAATTCCCACAACACTGTCAAATAATTTACTAAGACTGCATTATTACTCTACTCTATTATTCTTTTCTTCCTTACTAGTATCTATCTCTTCCCACTTATTACTATAACCATGTTACTTGTATCTTCAAATTCAATTATATTGTTTTTATTTGTTTCCTAGTACAATTTGATAGCTTATTAGTAACCTTGACTATCACTAAGTGTTGTATCTTTTTATTCTTGATGAATGTATTTTATTCTCCTTATGTACACTGAGAGCATATACACCTAAGACAAATTCCACAATCACACTTGGCCAATAAAGAATTCTATTCTAGTCTATTTCTATTTCCTATTTCCTATTTCCATTCCCATTCCCATTCCCATTCCCATTCCCATTCCCATTCCTTACTCTACTCTACTCTACTCTACTCTACTCTACTCTACTCTACTCTACTCTACTCTACTCTACTCTTTTTCTATTTCTTTTTTATTTCTATTTCCATTTCTATTATTATAATCCTAACCATTGCAGTGTGTTCTCAATTACCTAGGTACATTCCAACCATTGGGCCCTTGTCCCTGCATAGTGTTTGTATAATTTCACATACAACTAGCCATTGCAGGAATATTTTTTTTCCCAATGTCCTCATGGTATTTTCGTTTCATCCCAAATGAATAATAACTAGAACAGGGAATGCTATGTACTTCTTTGCACTTCAGGAGGAAAGGTGCAATATACCGTAAATAAAATAATTTGACTGTTCTCCAAAGTGTAATGGCTGGTATAGATTTTGTGCACCTTTAGGGTACTTTTGGACTGGGTCTGACCAAGGGAGAAAACTTGTACTGTATATTTAAAGACAATGCAAAGTTATTTCACTGCTGTGCTGAGGACAACAGGAAGGAGGCACCATGGGGAAATGCTAGAAAAAAGATATGCCAGAGCATATTCCTGCCAGAGTTAGAGGCAAATGAGGAATGGCTTATTATGATTAAATCCAGCACCTGATTTTCCCATTTTCCTCTAAATCCAGAGATTAAATAAAATAAAACCTGCTTTGCAGTTCCTAACCCTAACTACAAAAGAGTCCCAGGCTGGAGAGGATTTCCTTAGGGCTTCTGAAGACATTCTGTCCCTCTTTATAGCTCCATTTTGGCTACAATCTTGTCTATTCACAGTTTAAGTTTATGATTGGAAGGAATGTATTCATCCTCAGCCAGACTGAATATTTATAAGGATCCCAGTAGAGCTATATTTTTAAAAAGTTGTGACTATAATAATGCATCTCACAGTCGATTTCTCGCAGTTTTCATGTCCATAACTCCTAATCAAATTTTGCTTAAATTTTTAATTGTATTTTAAAGTACTATTGTGTTTTAAAGAGGGCCAGCCAGCATAGGGTAATATTTCATATAAAGTATTCCAGTTAAAAACTTGTTTTTGGTTCACATGCTTACTTAAAACTTTATATTCATTTTGTAAAAGCTATTACTAAAGTGGTGCCTTTTTCTATTTAGTGCCTTGCGTTTCATGATATTTCTCCACAAGCTCCAACTCATTTCCTAGTGATCCCCAAGAAGCATATTGCTCAGATATCTCAAGTGGAAGATACCGATGCAGATGTGAGTATTGCAAAAAGACTTTATTAAATAGAGGCCAGCTTTTCAATAATAACTTGGATCAAAAATTGAGAGATCTGAAGAAGGATGGGTAAAGTTTTGGTAGGTTTGCTAAACCAGCAAAAGCTCAGAGTTTTAGTTCAATTGTTAATTTTTTTTTTTAGAATAATAACTTCATTATCACTTTAAATGTACAGTAATCAGCATACGTTAAAAAAGAGATTTCATTGCATATAGCTCTCAAAGGATAACTACCTCCAATATACACTACATAAACATGACAAAAAATTACTGGTATGTATATACCAGTGATGAAATCCAAATTTTTTTACTACCGGTTCTGTGGGTGTGGCTTGGGCATGGCTTGGTGGGCATGGCAGGGGAAGGATACTGCAAAATCTCCATTCCCACTCCACTCCAGGAGAAGGATATTGCAAAATCTCCATTCCCACCCCACTCTGGGGCCAGCCAGATGTGGTATTTGTCGGTTCTCTGAACTACTCAAAATTTCTGCTACCGGTTCTCCGAACTGCTCAAAATTTCCATTACCGGTTCTCCAGAACCTGCTGGATTTCACCCCTGGTATATACCACATATACACACATATATGACCCAGAGAAACAACACAGTCTAGTTCAGATGTGCATGTGTGTGCATGGGTATATGCATAATTTTTATATATGTGTGTGTATATATATAAAGCGAGAAAAACGAATCTTGCAAGTTTTATCAGACGGATGGCATAGGGAACAAAGCTGTTACAGAATCTAGTAGTCCTGCTAGAAATACTTTGAAATCTCCTCCCAGAGGGGACCAACCAAAACAGACCGTGAAATGGATGTGCGGAGTCTCTAACAATGCTTTGAGCTCTAAGCACATAGCGCTTATAAGCAGTATCCTAAATAACCAGAAACTGGCTTTCTATAATCTCAGATGTCCTTACCATTCCCTTTATGGATTTTCTATCTGAGGCACTGCTACCACCAAACCAAACAGTGATGCAGTTTGTTAAAATGCTTCTAAATCGTGCTTCTAAAAAGTGGCCAAGACAGAAGGAGAAAGATGTGCTCTCCTCATCTGACACAGGAAATGCAAATGCTGGTTTGCACACTTCACTAAGGATGACGTCCTTAGAGATCAATTCAGATTGTTAGTTATCTGCACCCCCAGATACTTAATACTGTTGACCACCTCTACAAGTGCAGCTTTGATACAGAGTGGGGTATGACTATGCCGGCTCTTTCTAAAATCTACAATGATCTCCTTTGATTAAGGTGATTGTATTATACATGTAATACTAAAGAATGTTTCAGTTTTCAAGAGTTTTTTTCAAAGCTTTAACAAACGTCATGGATTTATTTGAAAAGAATAAAAAACTGTCCTAGATTAGTTCCATGTTTGTCAACAACAACAACAAAAAAAAACTATTTTCTTAGCCTACAGGGGTGGGGTGGGGGCAAGAATCTATTATTAATAGCATGAGGAGAGGTAAATTGTCAAGGCTAGATGATTTTCCTGGAGAAATCAGGCAATTTTTTTTCATTTTTAAATCTATAAGTTTCTAAGATAACGTTTAAAGTGTTCATGAGAACCCAAAACTTGAATAGCAATTCTTGCTACAAGAAGATTAATCAATTTCAGCATAGTGTCCAAACATATTGGAATACAGTAAAATCTGGACAGTTCTTATAGTTGTAGAAATTGTAGCTGGACATACTAGTCAAGCTTCATTGCCTTGTAGAGTAAATATCTGTGAAGACCAGTACTATCACTGTTAGTTTCTACACAAGGTTTATTTGCATTGTGTACTATATTCTAAACAAGGTTCATTTGCATTGCATGTTATATTTAGTTATAAATATTTAGAATTTATGTAAATAATATAGTGCAATCACAGTTATCTATTGTTACATTTTCAATATGTTCTTAGGATAAGCACTTCCTATACAGTAGCAGCAATGGTTAATAACAGATTTCTGAATAGTCTTTTACTTTTCCCAAGTTTCTCCTTGAGTGGTTTTTAAAAGTTAGTTATAAAACCTCCAATAAAGTATGAGGGAATGCTGCCCTGAGAACATAGGTTGCATCTTCTCTAAATATTTTTATGCCAGGTTAAAAGAAGGAAGAACTGGGTTTCACCCCTCCCCCCTTTTTTTGCTGACATTTTTCTGAGCTAATCTTCAGCGTAACAATAAGTAAATCTGCTGAAAAGAACACTTGAGAAATGGCTGAATATGCAAGTTGTTTTGGCCCTTTTATATTGTATGTTCCCCACTTTGGGTGAGATACCAGTTACCGATGCCGAAACTGTACTGTATACGTACACTTTTGATACTGAATTTGATTTTGGTTTGGCAGTTCTGTGGACTTTGGGTTTTTTTTCCTTTTTGTCTTAAAGTGATGTGTTTTTCTTTTCTTTTTCAGCTTCTTGGCCATTTAATCATTGTGGGGAAAAAATGTGCAGCTCAATTAGGCCTGACTAGAGGATATCGAATGGTTGTGAATGAGGGTCCAGATGGTGCTCAATCAGTCTATCATGTGCATCTCCATGTACTTGGCGGACGTCAGATGGGCTGGCCTCCAGGCTAAGACTCTGAATGAGAAGAAAAACGTTGTCCTTAATCTGTTGAATAGAGTCCACACATGTTCTGTTTATAATCCCAATTAATTAATATTTCGTGTGGAAGACAATTATAAATTTTGCCCATAAATCAATAAAGTTTAAGCTTAATTATTCTTTCCCCCCCCATTTTTCTCTTATGTAACATAAATTAGTACAGTCTGATACTCAGGTCTATATTCAGCTGCTAAAAGTTGTGGATGCAGCCACCGGAAACTTTCCAAAAGCTGTTTCTAAGTTGTAGTGTTACTATGTTAGAAAAGAAAGCATGAGTTGTACTGGAAGTAATCAAAGGTGTTTAAATTTTAAATCTTTTTCATGCTGTTTGTTAAAGCAGAAATGAACAGGAGTTACTTTGAAAATAGTATTTTATATGCCTGGATATTTTCCTTTTGCTTCTCAAAATGCTGTTTCGTTTACTGAGACTAATGCAATACAGCCACAAATATGCTCTGTGAAAAAAAAACCAGAATATATTATAAAAACCATAACTGAACCAAAGAATATTTACATATTGACTTAACATCAGTGCAAGGGGGTGTTACAAGGACAGAAAGAGCAGCCTCTTTCATTCATCCTCTGTGAATGGGCATTTAGAGGCTTGCCAAGTTTCCAGTGGTGACCATTTTGTAATTAGACAAATCCTCTCTCAGGGCATCCAATTTTGAATGTCCCCAATATGCTCAGAACTCAAAATATCTACCTACCCAGTAGGATTTAGTTATTATGGATCCTGAAAAGAATAGGGGGAGGTGACGGCTGGTGGGAAAAGGGTTAGAGTGAGATCCTTGCAACAAGGAAAAAGATGAGCTAATTCATCAACAGTGACAGGGAAAACGGCATGGCAAAGTTGGAAAGGTAGATGGGCCAATGGAATCTGTTGAGGGAAGGCGGAGAATTTGAAACAGCCTTGCCTTCCTCCATTAAATCACTCCATCACTTTTCCATAATTTAAAATGAAACAATAATTTTATTCCTGCCATGATCTGAAATGATTGAGTTCCAGAACACTCTGGAACTCAGTGTTCTGGGTTGAAAAAATCCAATATGGAGGTGGGCCAAAGAAGGTTATGCTAGATTTGAAACAATTCAAGATAACACTTATACAAGATTCAGTCATAGACTATATTAGGGAACACAGCTGCTTAATTTTTTGTTACAGTGGGATGAAAATCACAAGGGTGATAAACAAATGTTCTGCAGAGTTAGCTTTAGCAGTTTATTATGAATGGTTTATTAGATTGATGTCCCACTTTTCCTTCAGGAGCATTTTCTTCAGTTTTTTCCTCAAAGCAGCTAATTTAGTTCGGGCTGAAAAAGATTCATTCACTCAAAGTCACTTAGTGCGCACAATAAATATACATTCAAATTTGCAGATATAGTATCCTTTTAACTACACTATGGACAGGTTGTGTCGGCTTCTGTTTAATGATTGAAATACACAAATTGACCAGGTGTCTAAATTTCTGCACATAACTGCTGCTCGTGCAGCAGTTAAAAAACACTTGAAAAGTGCTCGTGCATTGTTACTGAATAACCTATTTTGTAAGTCTGCACTTTTATGTGAGAGTATACTTGTGTGTGTGGTCATTAATTCAATTGCAAAAGTTTAGTACACAGACAAGTAGAACAGGATTATTTTTTCACAATGGGGAGAAATAGATTGAAAATGCTGTGGAATTGCAGATGACAAACAGAAAATAATGGACTTCAAGTTAGGCGTGGAGATTGAGAGTAAATAAAGAAATCCCTTAAACCCACTAATTAATTAGAAGCCTGAGCTGGTATACAAAATATTCCACTCCTCATCTCTGCTCACCCAGGACTTTTCCTTATCTAGAGAGCTCAGGAAGAAATGTGTACAATTTTCAGAGTCAGAAGCTGAAGAAGCTTCTTGGATGAGAAGTTGAAACATTTTCAAAGAAAAACAAAGTCCAGTTGCCTCTTGAAAAAGCACTTTTGTGTACAATTTTTGCAAGTTTTTTTTTTCCTATTTGTGAATTACTAAACAAGCTTCAGTAGGTATCAGACATGGCCTGGCTTGGACACTGGTTAAATCTCTCCAGAGTTGTTTTAATTTAATTCAGGATACCAATGAATGAGATGCACACACTATACATTGCTTGCTCATAAATTATTTAAGTCATGGCAAATAATTCATAGAAATACAAATATCTGAAAGAAGGAAGCCCGAGAAAGCTGTCTGTCTATGCAAAGCACCACATGTTGGCAAATGAGACAACGGAGCAGAGATGTCCATTGAAATGAAACAAGGATCACAATGTCACATTGCAAATTTCTCCCCTGATACAGATACGTACAATGGCACCACTCACATGCAAAAGGAGCAGAGCTTATGTCACACCACTTATTTCATCTTATTTCTGTTCCCACAAATTCCCATGCCAAGAGATGTTCATTAGAAGAAAAGGAAAATTCTGTTCTTAGATATTTAGGTTAATTTAGTTAGGAGAACTAGTTTGATGGTTAAAAGCATTTGTCTAGAAACTAAGAATGTTAGCTCTTAGCCTGGCCTAGCCATGAAGCCAGCTGATTACTGGGTCAATAGCACTCTCTCAGTCCTAAAATGAAGGCAATCACAAGCTCTTTCCAAAAATGTTGCCAAGAAAATTGAAGGGACTTCTCCACACAGTTGCCAGGAGTCAAGTCTTGTCTCGAAGGCAGAAAAAAAATAGTTGGCCAGAAAAAGATCAGTTGTGTCTATGTTTATTTGGAGGAGGAAGGAATTTTTGTTAATAGTGTAATAATAAGATATTAGACCAGCATGTGGAAAACGCATATCAAGTTCCCATATTCACTAGTTTTATCCGTTACCACATGCTTAACCTAGCCACCTTAAGATGTAACGGATACTAAATGTGGTTAACTATTTTTGAGGCTTCTGGAGTTGTGCAAATCTACACTTTTTGGCTAGTTTATAGCTTATAAACCTAGAAAATAGCTTAAGTCTTAATTCTGTTTTTTAAAAAAAATCATAAAAAATAATAGTGTGACTTCAAGTCTGTCTAAAAAAATTGTGAAAGTGAAAATTTTGGAGCAAATCATACAAACAGGTTACCTGTAATTCTGAACAAAAATAAATTTTATAATAGCATCATTATTCAAGTTACTTTGAAGGGGAAAAGAAAATGTTTATTTTAAAAAAATCTATATTAATAAATAACGACTGGATAAAAGCAGTGGATTTCCACTCCCCAAAAAAGATTAGTTAGGGATGAAGAAAATGAATAAAATGCAATTTTAGGTTTCCATTTTGGAAGACATGATATGTCTTCTTGTATTGGCAGACTTTATCGGCAAATCTGAGGCATTGTGATTTCAGGATTGACCACAGGAGGGCAGAATAGGATTAATTTTTGTGGTTTTCTAATGGAATTTCCTTGCAGTAGTTCTTGCAGTTTGAGCAGAGACTGAAACTGAAATGAATGGTCTTGAAAATAGGAGCATAGCTGAAGAAACAAGACTATGCATTTCAACAAAGCACAAAGAATTTTCACTGGAGGGTGACTGCAAAAGACCATGAATAAGCTATACTATGATACAATCTTATTATTAATGTCATTAGATACACAAAAATGTGAAATTGCAGCTGCTAATTCTTTTTAAAATATATTTAATTATTCTTTTATCAAAAAAGATAAAATACAAAACGAAGAAAAATAAATAAAAAAACAGATTAACAAACATCCAACACTAACAACAAAAAGAAAAAAAACCCCATGTGTACAAAAGAAGAAGAAAAAAGCTACCCACAGTCCAATTCTGAAAAACCTTGCCAAGAAAATTGCAAGGATTTGTCCAGGTAGTCTCAAAGAAATAGACATGATTGAACACAAAGAAAAAAACAAAAAGAAAAGTAAAAGGTAAAATGCAGTTATTTTATCTAACATGATTGGTTCAAAATCTGACTGCTTTGGTAAAAGATAAAGGAACAAAGGAAATTATATAGCATACGTACCTGCAAATAGGATTTTATTTATTTATAACAAAATCTATTATAGCATTTAATAACTCAGTATTCCCAAAGTGGCATTTTGCTGTTTAATGATATCAACCACTCTGCTGCAACTATAGAAGATAAATGTATTAGCAATCACTTTCGATTTGAAATGAGATGGCCAAAAGTATAATATGGTTGCAAAAAGGGCAAATAAATAATAGAATCCTTTATTGGCCAAGTGTGATTGGATGCACAAGGAATTTGTCTTTGGTGCATATGCTCTCAGTGTACGTGAAAAGAAAAAAAATTGTAATTTTAGATTGCATTAATATAAGTTTTCAAAGAATGCACAGGAATTGGATTTGTATGATGAAAGCTAAACCAAGAAATGAATGCTTGTTTGAACTGAAAAAAGACTTGTTGGGCTTCAGAATCTCATTGGAATTCTTTTCAATTGTGTGGTCAGAACAGCAAAATTAGGGGGTTGAGGGGTCTTTTACTCAAATTTTTAGCTAAACTTTTAAGGGGTTCTAGGGAGGGGGAGGGTATGATTGGAATGTGGGTTGTGGGCATGGGGGATAGCCCACTAAGGGGAGGGGCGGGCCTGGCTTCCATGACAGCTATGGACCTGACCCAGTTAATTCATGGCCCTACCCACACAGGGGGAAACACGCTGGACCTGATTTTTGTCTCTGGACATTGGTTGAGTGATCTTGAGATAGGGGACATAGTCACCGAGCCCTTGTCATGGTCAGATCACTCTCTCCTTCGCCTTGACCTTCGAACCGCTATACCTTGTCACAGGGAGGCGGAGCCGGTAAGATGGTTCCGCCCCAGGCGCCTGATGGAACCTGATAGATTCCAGATGGAGCTTGGGCCATTTCCTGAGGCTCTGGCACACGCCTCGACTAGGGACTTAGTGGCTGCCTGGGATAGGGCGGTCGCTAGAGCTCTGGATCGGGTTGTGCCTTTGCGGCCTCTGACCCAGTGCCGATCTCACCTAGCTCCTTGGTTCACTGAGGAGCTGAGGGAGATGAAGCGCCGGAAAAGATGCCTAGAGGCGTTGGAGGGCCAGTCTTTCTGAATCCGACCGGACACTGGTAAGATCTCATATTAAGAATTACCTAGTGGCAATAAAAGCAGCAAAATGTACATATTTTGCTGCTCTTATTGCGTCATCAGATAATTGCCCGGCCGCTCTGTTTAGGGTGACCCGCTCCCTGCTCCACCAGGAAGCGTGGGAGGACCCCTTGGAGGGTAGAGCCGAGGATTTTGTTCAATATCTGTATGACAAAATCACTCAGATTCGGGAAGATCTGGACTCCGACTGGGTAGTTCCAGGGGGGTTGACTGAGGCAGGTCTTGAGAATGTTATCTGGGATGAGTTTGATCCTGTGACCCCTGAC